CCGGTTGGGGGCAGGTGAAGTGGGTGGCTTCTGGGGGCAGATTTAATAACTTGTCTGGGCATGTTTGTCCGGTCCTGTGCACTGCGTGTCTCTGAGCAGGGGTATCGGGAGTTGGGGGCTCCAATTGCCCTTCTCGTTTCGGTCTCTTTTAGCTGTTTATCAGCCGCTTCCCCTTTTTGTACCAGGCCCGGTATTCCCTTGTATCACTGTGTCTCTCTGGCGCAGTAATAGGTGGCGGTGTCCGCAGCTGTCAGCGAGAACTGATTCTTGGCGGTGTCTTGTGCGATGGTCACTCGGCTCTGCAGGGCGCTGGTGTAGCTAGTGGAGCAGTTGTTAGATCTGTAGTAAATGCGCCCCGCCCATTCCAGCCCCTTCCCCGCGGGCTGCCAGACCCAGGTCCACGTGATGCTGGTGCTAGAAACAGAGTCTCCCGAGATGGTGCAAGTGAGTGTCAGGGACTCCCCGGGCTTCGCCGCTCCCGGGCCCGTTTCCTTCAGCGTCACTTGGGAGAGGACCCCTGGGAGGGAAACACGGAAATGACGGAGAGAGCCAGGCCCTGTCCCCTGGGCACATGGAAATTTAGTATCTGGAACCCCGCATAAGGGAATGAGGCACCTAACTCCCACAGAACTGCATTGGGATCCGGGCACCTTATTCCCTTGGGCTGCTCGAACAGCTCCTGTTCTACGTCAGGGATCCCTCCTGTCCCCCAGTAGCCACGTACCTGAAGGCGCCTCCAGCACGAAGAGGAAAATCAGCAGCAGGTTCATCTTCAGTGAAGGCGCAAACTGTACCCAGCAGCCAGGCCCGGGCAGGTCTGTGACTGGGGAGAGAATGAGGCTGCTCCGGTCAGAGGGTGAATTTGAGCAGCCCCAGCCTTCCTGTTTGGGAGTGGGTCATACACATCACAGCAATGACGCTGCAAGTTGGGGTGGGCACAGAATATAAAAGTAGAGAGCTACAGAAGCTGAGAGTCTCCTAAGAACATTGGAAAAGGGGGAAGGGCGGTTTGAACAGCACCTGCAGCCAAACAACTTGAGGGGAGGGGAGGGGAGGGAACCGGCTGGCCCCTGAGAAAAGACACAGTTTCTGGGCTAGAGGTGCAGTGGCAGGAAAGAGGAAAGGACTGGAAATAGGACGTTTTCTATAGGGGCTTTTTAAACAGACACACAACACACAGGCAACCTGTGGAACTCCTTGCCAGAGGATGTTGTGAAGGCCAAGATTATAACAGGGTTAAAAAAGAGCTAGATAAATTCAGGGAGCATAGTCCCATCAGTGGCTGTTAGCTCTGATGGGCAGGGTAGTGTACCTAGCCTCTGTCAGGAGCTGGGAATGGACTACAGCAGATGGATCACTCTGTAATTTCCTATTCTGCTCCATCACTCTGGGGCACCTGGCAATGGCTGTTGCCGGAAGACAGGATACTGGGCTGATGGACCTTTGGTCTGACCCAGTCTGACCACTCTTATATACCAGTGTGTGCTGGGGGGCGCTGCTCCTGGGAAGGTGGGAGGAGGCCCGGGTGATGTTTTGGCTCCTGGGAAAGTCAAAAGCACAGAGAGCTCCCAGCGGTGGCTGGACGCAGGCAGGGAAACATCCAGCCAAGAAGGAGGAATTCAGGTGCTGGGGTGAGATGGAGGTGTCAGAATCAGTGGCTCTGCCCCTCGGTTTCTCTGCTGCGTGGGGGGAGGGAACGCTGCAGGGTCTGGGCTGGGTGAGAATAGGGCTGTGGTGGTTGGACACTGGAGAGTCTGGGCCGAGCCCTGGAGAGACGCGCAGCAGCCACTGCTGGGGAGGTGCCT